TCCCTTTAGGTCTTTATAGGAATTGTGAGCCTCAGCATATAGGTCAGCAGCCTCAGCAACTTCCTCAGCTTTAATCAGGTTACGTTCTCTAATGAATGTTCGTATCTGGTGAGGAAGAGCTGTCAGGAACTGGTCAGCAACCATGAAGTCTCTAAGAGATTCATAACTGTGATCAATTCCTGAACTCTCTATCCAAAAGTCGAACAAACGAAAGAGTGTTACCTGTAACTACTGAAAGTTCTGGCCATGCTGTAAGGTGGCATACCTGAAATCTTTCCTGTAAGAATTAGTGGTTTTTTGATATGCTTTAAGGATTGCCTTCTTCAGTAGGTTATAATTACATATATCCTGCGACAAAGTTGCATAGATATTCAAAGCTGTACCAGAAAATAACATTCCTAACCTGGTAGCCCAGGTGTCAGCAGGCCATTCACAGAGGGTAGCGGTATTTTCAATCCTGATAATGTATGAAGTTATGTCTTCCCCCTCTGTGAAGGGAGGTAAATTAGGTGTTGGAATATGTGCACTAGCTGCACGTTGTTCTATTACTCCTTCATCTAATTGCTGTTGTGAAAAAGTTAACTTTTTATTCTCTAATTCAAGGCGAGCTTGTTCGAGCTCGCGATCCTTTTCTCTCTCCCTTAACTCATTCTCTATCCTTTGCTCTTTCCTCAAGTTCCCTTAATTTAACTTGTTCCTTACGTATTTTAGCTTGTTCCTCACGTACTCCAGCTCTCTCCTCACGATCAAGTCTATCACGCTCCTTTTTGTCTTCTCTCTCCCTTTCTGTCTATCTTGGTTTTCTCTTTCAATTCGATCTCTCTCCTTTTTATCCTCTTTCTCTTTCTGTTTTTCTTGATTCTCTCTCTCTATTCTTTCTCTCTCCTTATTCTCTTCTCTTTCCCTTTCTGTCTCTCTTCTCTCTCAATTCTCTCTCTTTCAAGTCTTTCCTGGATCTTAGCACTAATGAAAGATTCTAAATTTTTCCCTGTTATTCCTAACTTACTTCCAGCGTTCATCCAAAACTGGTATTCCTCCATACTTGCAAGAATAACTTAAACTACCAGGAGAAAAATGAAACGGGTATCAAAGAAAACGGAGGGCTCAATTCCTGCTCCGCTCAAACTGTAAATAAACCAGGAGGGCTCGATCCCTACTTCAATTAAACAATATGTATTAATGAAAACGAAGGGTTCTATGCCGGCTCCGAGCAAACAGTAAGTAGAATGGAGTTCCTTGACTATCCAATCTTCTCACCAACAAATCAAGAGTGTCCTACGACAGTTCCCTTGATATAATAAAGAGCTCAATGAAACAAATTGTCACTGGAAAATCTCGGGTCCCTAGAGTCTAATCCTCCAAAGTGTTTCAAGCTCTTACAAAAAGGTGGCAGAATTAAATATTATATCCTGCCTGACTTGACTTACAATAAATTGAGACTATAACAATCACCAAATCTTTTAAATACCTGTACCGTAGTCCTACCATAAAGAATGATTACTCATGGCTGGTGGTAACCGTCTGAGGTATGCGGCGTTGAAGTTCCAATGGTAGATACGAGATGGAGTTGACTCTTGATTCAGTCGAGTTGATCCTGGCAAGGTCGCCACTTGTGAAGGCTTACTCAGCCCTGTAACAAGTTCAGACAGTATTACCAAGGCTGGCTCCTCCTCAGGAAAATTAATGAATAGAAAAAGAACAAAAACTGACAAACAAACACTTTATTATTTAGAAAATATAAAATATAAAACACTTAAATATGAAATATTGATCCTACCTTAAAGAAAATGAAAAATATAAATATCTGAATTCAACGCTAATATATATATATATATATATATATATATATATATATATATATATATAAAACTTGGGTGTCTGGTGTTGGTGACACTGCGTGTTGTTGAAATAGTAGCCGTTGCTGATGGGGGGGGGGGTCGCAGGTGTTGGTGACAACCCACCGGCTCGTTCTTCACAGATTTTATAGCTGTCAATAATCCGTCCAGATGACAGGAAAACTGGTTTTCTCCACTGCAATGATGAGGGGTTATACCCTGTTACTTGCATACACAAACAGGTAAGTGGATCAGAATTTGGGACGTCTCAGAACGTTAGTCCGTCTCCTTCAATTCTACTCGTTGATAAGCAGGTGACCCTCTCTGTCCTTTCAAGAGTAGTGTTGGGAGCTGTGAGTCGAGCGATTTACTGTTTGACCGGAGCCCCACACGTCACCTTTCCGGAGGGGGGGAGAGGGAGGGGAAGGGATAGCGGGAGCTAGACTGACCCTACCTTAAGCAGCCGGCAATCAAACTATCACTTTCGAGGAGGGGAAAAAAAAAAGGGGGGGGGGGGAATAGCGGGAGCTGGACTTGCCCTAACAAGTAGCCGGCTATGAAACCATTGTTACTATATACTCCCTCGCTACTGCTATCTAATGAACTTTTCTCTCACACCTGTGAGGGAAAAGTTCAATAGATAGGAGTAGCGATATAGTAACGATAGTTTCATTGCCGGCTACTAGTTAAGGTAGGGTAAGTCAAGCTCCCGTTTTTCCCACCTTTTTTCCCCCTCCCTGAAAGTGATAGTTTGATTGCCGGCTGCTTAAGGTAGGGTCAGTCTAGCTCCCGATATCCCTTCCCCTCCCTCTTCCCCCCCCCCCCGAAAGGTGACGTGTGGGGCTCTGGTCAAACAGTAAATCACTCGACTCACAGCTCCCAACACTACTGTAAGTACATGCCTGCCTTGTATTCTAGTGGATTTATTGGTTAAAAGCTTCACTTTTGACCAATAATAAACTTAGTCCTTTCAGTCTTGCTCTAGGTTGACTGGTGTAATAATCACCACGTCTTTTGAGTATTGTACTTGCCATGGAGAGTGATTATTTAAGCAGTGGGTAACCTGTCTATCTTTTCAGCTTGGATGACAGTGAGGGTCACCTGCCAATCAACGAGAAGAACAGGAGACGGACTAACGTCCTGGAGACGTCCCATTTTGGATTTAATTACCTGTGCACCTGTATGAAATTGCAGGACGTAACCCCACATCATTGCAGCAGTAAAGAACCTGCTTTCCTGTCATCGGGATACTACTCAAGGCTCTATCTACTGTGAAGAACTAGCCAGTGGGTCGTAACCAACACCTGCGACCCCCCCCATCATCAGCAACGGCTACGATTTCAACAACACAGTGTCACCAACACCAGACACCCCTATACATAGCGTTGAATTCAGTTATCATTCATATCTTTCATTGTTCATTTTCTTTAATGTAGGATTAATATTTCATATTTAAGTGTTTTATATTTTATATTTTCTATATAATAAAGTGTTTATGTTTGTCTGTTATTTCTTTTTCTATTCATTAATTTTCCTGAGGAGGAGCCAGCCTTGGTAATACTGTCTGAAGTTGTTACAGGGCTGAGTAAGACTTCACACACCCGATAAATATTAATTTTTCCCGGATATTACTAATATTACATAAATGCCACCATAGGCAAGACAAATATACAACTTGAATAAAGGCTAGAAATACAAAATAAACCTAAACATTCATCAGATGCTAAAAAACTGATAAACGTTCATAAACAATAATCAACAGCTGTGATGAAGCTCATTTATGGATTCAGCTGCAGCTGCCCAGAAAACGTGTGTGTGTGTGTGTGTGTATTATATATATTTATATATATATATAATAATATACATATATGTATACTTATATATACATATATATATAATATATTGCAACCATGGAAGAGTGGTATTGAACAATAACAACACTACGCTAGCCAAGGATTCGAACCCATGTTGTACTGGCCTGCCTCATGGTAAGCGAGAACCACATGACGCTTTAAACCACAGGACCATCCAACCCTACAAGAATGGCGCAGCCAGCACACAGCTAGCTGTTGGGCCGCCATCCGAGGGCATACGGAGGTGTGGGAGCTTCTAAGCTAATTTCATTCTCATCCCTGTTTAGTGTACTAACCTCACGAGCAGTATTTATATATTATTGTAACCACGGACGAGTGGTATAGATCAATAACAGTACACTAAACAGGGATGAGAATGAAATTAGCTTAGAAGCTCCCACACCTCCGTATGCCCCCGGATGGCGGCCCAACAGATAGCTGTGTGCTGGCTGCGCCATTCTTGTAGGGTTGGATGGTCCTGTGGTTTAAAGCGTCATGTGGTTCTAGCTTACCATGAGGCAGGCGACTTTCCAGTCACGAAATTCCCTCGGGGAGAGCGAGAGAGAGAGAGAGAGAGAGAGAGAGAGAGAGAGAGAGAGGAGAGCGAGAGAGAGAGAGAGAGAAGCTGCGTCGAGCATACCGTACTCGAGGTTGCTCTGTAAAAAGCACGAAACAACTGTTCGCTAAGTTACATGACAAACTTACCTAAGTTAAACTAGAGCGACGCTGACACTCCACGAGCTGTATATCAACACTTACCTGTAATGGTGAACAAGGTGTTATAACATTATAATTGATATATTACTACTATTGTAATTGTTGCAATAACATTAATATCGTAATTATAATACTGCTATTATCGTAATCATATTACTATTATTGTAACTGTCACGGCATTATTAGCATCAAGGTACCTTTCACTATCAAGGCACCCATTATCAGCATCAAGGCATCCTTCAACAGTATCAAGGTACCCTTTATCAGCATCACAATACCCTATAACACCAAGGTACTCTTTGCCAGTATCAAGGTACCCTAAGGGTCACCAGCATCAAGATATCCTTTACTATCAAGGTACCCTTCCCCAACCTCAACGTACCCTTCATTAACACCAAATTACTCTTCACCAGACTCATGCTACGTTTCACCAGAATCAAGGCACCTTTCACTATCAAAGTACCCTTCAACATCAAGGTACCCTTCAACATCAAGGCACCCTTCAACATCAAGGCACCCTTCACCATGAAGATAACATACAACGTCCCATGGAAATTTAACCTTTAGCTTGGTTGACAAATACCACAGAACTTACCCCCGTCGCATGTTTTTGGTATCATCCAAGCAGAAGTCTTCCTGGAGAATATGAATGAGAAGCGCTCTCAAGGTCGCCACATTAATTTCACTATCAACGTGGTTAAATCCCCTCAAATTCACATAATTTTCGTCTCGCGCGCACACACACACAGATCACCATCAATAGCACGTAACACCTCCTCAGTGCGGTAAGCGAAGGGTAACTGCAGTAACCATGACTCGATATCCTCACTGAACCATCAGTGAACCATTCTGAAGCCTCGTCGAGTGTTCCGGTACTCTGGGTGATTTTCTTTTTCCAGTTTTGAATCCTGGAAAAGCTAGGTACACTTAGAAATGTGTAAGTCTCAATGATGAAATGTTAGTGCTTAAAATATCCTTCGATAAAATATACCTTTAAACTTAAGGTTTTTAATACTTGACGTGCTGTTGGAGTGTGAGCAAAGTAACATTTATGAAGGGATTCAGGGAAACCGGCAGGTCGGACTTGAGTCCTGGAGATGGGAAGTACAGTGCCTGCACTCTGAAGGAGGGGTGTTGCAGTTTAAAAACTGTAGTGTAAAGCACCCTTCTGGCAAGACAGTGATGAGGTGAATGATGGTGAAAGTTTTTCTTTTTCGGGCCACCCTGCCTTGGTGGGAATCGGCCAGTGTGATAAAAAAAAAAAAGGTTTAATACACCACGTATATGTACACTGAGATACATATTCACTATTAATATACACTGTATGTATGTATATGTATATACATAGAGATACATACCTTTCATTGCATGTATTCTAAGTGATACACTCATGTCTGTATATACACTAGGATACTTACCTATCGGTGCATTAACGCTAAGAGATACAGACCTATCACCTGCCACTGCTTTCACAGATATACAAAGCTGTCGGTGGAGATAGGCTGTATGATAATAATCTCGGTGTACATAGGCTGTATGATAATCTCGTTGTATGCAGACTATATGATCCTTGTGGGTTTAGCGCTTAGTTATGATTATAATAACACAATCAAAATAATCAAAATAATAATAATAATAATAATAATAATAATAATAATAACAATAATAATAATAATATCGGTGTTTGTAGGCCAAGAGATACACGCCTCTCAATGAATATACATTAAATGATACATGCCAATCAATGCGCATACATATATATTTCTCGGTGTATATAACCTTGATGGTAAGCATGAATATTGATTCGAGATGCGTGAGTGTGTGTTGAGCGGCTTCGTTTAGCGGTGAATCAGATACAAGTGGAACACCTAGGTGTTAATAAAGACACCTAGGTGTTACCCATGTTTCTCAGTCATCAGCTTCTCACGAAATTGTAACAACTTTCCATGGGTTCAAGGCCCACCTGTTCCCTGGTTTGACTAGACACCAGTTCCTTGATATCTCACACCCCGGCTGGGAACTTCGCTGACCAGGTTCACTAATCGGGTTCGCCGAATAGGTTCGAATTACTCTGAGTCACACCATGCGCCTGGCGAACCAGCCTGGCGAACCAGCCTGGCGAACCAGCCTGGCGAACCAGCCTGGCGAACCAGGTTGGCGAACCAGGCTGGCGTGACAGTGAAATATCTCTGTGGTAGTACGATAACAGTGACTGACGTTCAGTTAGCCTCAGTATCAACACACCAGTCATTAGGCCCCTTGATCCAGGTGTGGGGGCTCTTGATCCAGGGATCTGAGGGTATTATGCCCTATCCTTTGATCTAACTTACATTTTCCCACTGCCCAGGCGCCCTATGACACCTAGGGGTTTAGCGCTTCCGCTAATTAAGAAAATGAACTGGCTCATTACGAATTTATGGTAACGCTAATAAATTGAAAAAAAAATACAGCTCTGTATGACCCACATGGGTTTGGCGCTCACTTTTAAACATTAGAATAATGTTTATCCATTTATGTAGATAATATATGAAAAGTAATGAATCCTCAGGGGAATGTCCAGTCAGGGAAGTGTCCAGCCAAAGGAGGTTCCAGTCAGGGAAGTGCCCAGCCAGAGAAGCGTCCAGCCAGGGAAGTGTCCAGCCAGAGGAGGTTCCAGTCAGGGAAGTGTCCAGCCAGGGAAGTGTCCAGCCAGAGGAGGTTCCAGTCAGGGGAGTGTCCAGCCAGGGAAATGTCCAGCCAGAGGAGTGTCCAGCCAGAGAAGGTTCCAGTCAGGGGAGTGTCTAGCCTGGGAAATGTTCAGCCAGAGGAGTGTCCAGCCAGAGAAGGTTCCAGTCAGGGGAGTGTCTAGCCAGGGAAGTATCCACCCAGGGAAGTGCTCACCCAGGGAAGTGCTCACCCAGGGAAAGGTCCACCTAGGGAAGTGTCCAGCCAGGGGGAGTGTCCACCCAGGGTAGTATCCACCCAGGGAAGTGTCCAGCCATGGAAGTCTCCAGTTTCATTACGGTCGACGTTAATAACAATAAATATAATTATTCCCCGTGTCTGGCAGTGTTGCTCAAAGTACGTCATTGTTATTACATCATTTGTAATCTGTAAACTCGTAGGAGGCAGTCAGGATTGATCCATGGAAAAGGTGGAGTAGCTCCTGTTCCTTAAATGTAAAGCCATTTCACCGTCAACAAAACATCTCCACCTTGACGGAGTGAAGACGTAGTTGAACATTTGGTAAAGAACTTTAGTTGAACTTAAGTTTATCATTAGTTAAAGAATATGAACATTTCATTGTGATCTTTAATTTTGTGAACTTTTACTCTAAATGTTTCTATTTTAAATCATATATATTTTAGTTTTAGACGAAAACAATTATAATTTCATAAAAATTTACTTAAACTCAATATATATATATGTATATACATTGAGTTTATATATATATATATATATATATATATATATATATATATATATATATAAATATATAAATATATATATATATATATATATATATATATATATATATATATATATATATATATATATATATATTATATATATATATATATATATATAAATATATATATATGTCGTGCCGAATATGTAAAACTGGTCAATTAGCAAGAACTCATTTAAAATTAAGCCCTTTCTCAAATTTTCTCTTATACGTTTAAAGATATATTTTTTTCATTAATGTTAAAGTAAAAATTTTGAATTTTGCTCCAAACGAATCTTAGAAAACTTACCTAACCTTGATATAACAAGAACAATTTATTTTAGCCTAACCCAACTAAATATATTTTAGATTTGTTTACAATAATTTAATACTAAACAAACACAGTGAAATATTTTTCTTTTTCGTTAGGTTCAGAATGATTTTGGCGAAATTATTGAATACACAAATTTTCACTTGTCCTATATGGCAAGATGAACGTTGCTATTTAAGCCGAGATCGCAAGTTCTGCCTATTCGGCACGACATATATATATATATATATATATATATTATATATATATATATATATATATATATATTATGTCGTGCCGAATATATATATATATTTATAATATATATATATTTATTTATTTTATTTATTATCACTTTCACCATCATTCACTCCATCACTGTCTTGCCAGAAGGATGCTTTACTCCACAGTTTTTAAACTGCAACATTAACACCCGTCCTTCAGAGTGCAGTCACTGTACTTCCCATCTCCAGGACTCAAGTCCGGCCTGCCGGTTTCCCTGAACCCCTTCATAAATGTTACTTTGCTCACACTCCAACAGCACGTCAAGTATTAAAAACCATTCGTCTCCATTCACTCCTATCAAACACGCTCACGCACGCCTGCTGGAAGTCCAAGCCCCTCGCACACAAAACCTCCTTTACCCCCTCCCTCCAACCTTTCCTAGGCCGACCCCTACCCCGCCTTCCTTCCACTACAGACTGATACACTCTTGAAGTCATTCTGTTTAGCTCCATTCTCTCTACACGTCCGAACCGCCTCAACAACCCTTCCTCAGCCCTCTGGACAACAGTTTTGGTAATCCCGCACCTCCTCCTAACTTCCAAACTACGAATTCTCTGCGTTATATTCACACCACACATTGCCCTCAGACATGACATCTCCACTGCCTCCAGCCTTCTCCTCGCTGCAAAATTCATCACCCATGCTTCACACCCATATAAGAGCGTTGGTAAAACTATACTCTCATACATTCCCTCTTTGCCTCCAAGGACAAAGTTCTTTGTCTCCACAGACTCCTAAGTGCACCACTCACCCTTTTCCCCTCATCAATTCTATGATTCACCTCATCCTTCATAGACCAATCCGCTGGCACGTCCACTCCCAAATATCTGAATACATTCACCTCCTCCATACTCTCTCCCTCCAATCTGATATCCAATCTTTCATCACGTAATCTTTTTGTTATCCTCATAACCTTACTCTTTCCTGTATTCACTTTTAATTTTCTTCTTTTGCACACCCTACAAAATTCATCCACCAATCTCTGCAACTTCTCTTCAGAATCTCCCAAGAGCACAGTGTCATCAGCAAAGAGCAACTGTGACAACTCCCACTTTATGTGCGATTCTTTATCTTTTAACTCCACGCCTCTTGTCAAGACCCTCGCATTTACTTCTCTTACAACCCCATCTATAAATATATTAAACAACCACGGTGACATCACACATCCTTGTCTAAGGCCTACTTTTACTGGGAAATAATTTCCCTCTTTCCTACATACTCTAACTTGAGCCTCACTATCCTCGTAAAAAACTCTTCACTGCTTTCAGTAACCTACCTCCTACACCATACACCTGCAACATCTGCCACATTGCCCCCCTATCCACCCTGTCATACGCCTTTTCCAAATCCATAAATGCCACAAAGACCTCTTTAGCCTTATCTAAATACTGTTCACTTATATGTTTCACTGTAAACACCTGGTCCACACACCCCCCACCTTTCCTAAAGCCTCCTTGTTCATCTGCTATCCTATTCTCCGTCTTACTCTTAATTCTTTCAATAATAACTCTACCATACACTTTACCAGGTATACTCAACAGACTTATCCCCCTATAATTTTTGCACTCTCTTTTATCCCCTTTGCCTTTATACTAAGGAACTATGCATGCTCTCTGCCAATCCCTAGGTACCTTACCCTCTTCCATACATTTATTAAATAATTGCACCAACCACTCCAAAACTATATTCCCACCTGCTTTTAAAATTTCTATCTTTATCCCATCAATCCCGGCTGCCTTACCCCCTTTC